GCAGCAGGCCCAGCCTCGAGGGGAAGAGCGTGCGCTTGTGGCACGCAGGCTTTTCCTTTCTTTTTTTCTCTCGTTTCTCTCTCTCTCCTTTCTTGCTCTTCTCCTTTCTCTCCCTTTCCTCCCCCTCCATTTCCTCTTTCATTTATGTCTTTACGTGAACCTCTGAGTTGCCCAGTTGGTGGCTGTGGCATCCTGCACACACACAGGCACCGGCTTCTCCGCAGGGAAGCCTTAGACGCGCACTCGTGAGGATCCCTGCAGTCTGCAGTGGAGGGAGTGGGGTCGGGAGAACTGGGCGTCCGCTTCTTGGAGAAAGGATATACAATCTTTTTCGATCTTAGTGCTTTTATTCCAGCAGAATACACTAAGATTGACCAGTATAGCCACGTGTGAGGAACCAGCTCTGCAGCCTCAGTGTCTTCATTGCCGTGCAGCTCACCACCGTCCGCGGCAGCACTCCATCTTCCCCAGTGAAACGGGGCCCATTCGACACTCACCCCCCCAGGTCCCTGGGGGCACCGTGCGGCTTCCTGTCTCTGAGGTTTGCCTGTTTTAGGGAGTTCATATGAGAGGGGTCATAAAATCTCTGTCCTTTTATGTCTGGCCGATTTCATTTAACATGAGGTCTTCCAGGTTCCTCCATGCTGTGGCTTGCTCAGGATCTCTGCCTTATTTTTTTATTTTTATTTTTTGAGACGGAGTCTCGCTCTGCTGCCCAGGCTGGAGTGCAGTGGCTGGATCTCGGCTCACTTCAGCCTCCACCTCCCAGGTTCAAGCAATTCTCCTGCCTCAGCCTCCCGAGTAGCTGGGACTACAGGTGTGCACCACCATGCCCAGCTAATTTTCGTATTTTTAGTAGAGATGGGGTTTTACCATATTGGCCAGGCTGGGCTTGAACTCCTGACCTTGTGATCCGCCTGCCTGGGCCTCCAAAAGTGCAGGATCTCTGCCTTCTAAGGCTGAGGACCATCGTGCCGTGCACACCGACCGCGTTTCCTTTCCGCACTGGCTGGGCTGCTGGCGGATGCGGCTGTCGCTGCCTCTTGGCTGTGGAGGACAGCACTGCTGGGAACATGGCGTCTAGGATTTCCTCAGCCGTTACTTTGCATTCTTTGGGGTAAACATCTAGAGGCAGAATGGATAGATCAGAGTTCTAGGCTACCATACGGTCTCCAGGGTGAATTTTTTACTTTGATTTTTTTTCACCCTATCTTATGGTTCTGATCAATTTGGATATTTGACAAGCTGCCCTCCGAAAAGGTGTTACCAGTTTCCCGTCCCTTCCTCTGCCTGTTCTGCACTCGGGGACCAGCGCGGGGAGCACCAGCCTTGAGTGTTCCAGGCTGCTGTGGAGATGGTCAGGAGCACCCGGGCTTCTGCCGCGCCGTGGAAAGGCCCCGCCGTCCTCTTCACTGTGGCGCGTGTCCCTGCCCGTGCGTCTCGAGCTGGCAGCCGATTCCTTACTGATGTGTAGAAGTTAGGAAATTCGCTTTCTTCGTGTGCTGCAAATACTTCTTCCCTCAGTTTACCACGTGTATTAAGATACTTTGTTTAGTTGCTTTTAATTTCTGTATGGCCAGTTTTACCAGCCTTTTCTCCTGTGGTTTCTTGCTTTTGCGTTGGGCATGGAAAGGGTTCCCCTGTGGCAGACACAGCCAAGGGAGATGCGTGGGGGGTCCCCGTGGCCCGGCCTGAAAGGAGGCGTGGAAGTCCACAGGGATGTGCTGGAGCCTGGGGTCCTGCCCCCACCTCGGGAGCAGCATCCTCTCCACTCGCCTTCTCCCTCCACAGGGCTGGGGAGTCTGCCCTGAAGCAGTGGCCTGCGGGCAGGGGCGTGGGTGCTGGCAGGGCGAGGCTGGGGCTGGACAGGGTGTGACCATCTGCAAGCCACTGAGGAACAAGAAGTTCTAAATGAAAGATCAGAAAACACTTTCTGCATTTTGGGAGGAGGGAGGCTTCAGTTTTATAAGCTAAATCCTTATTTATCTAAGTAATACAGCATCTCGACCCAGAGTGGCTGCAGCCTCCCTGCCTCTCCCAAGCAGGGGAACTGCTAGAGGCTTCTCAGAGCACACAGATCCCGGAACGAGCCGTGCTCCAGGTGCCGAAGCTGGAGAGAGGCAGAGGGCTGGGGAGCTTATCTGTAACAGTTCTACTCCCGACACCATCTTTTCCCCGTTGATGGCAGTGTCTTTATCTTATACGAAATTCTGTACATGTGCACGTGATTTACTCGGCGGGAGATGATGTCTGAAACCTAGGCAGTGAGTAGCGGGGAGTGACAGGGCCGGCTTCCCGGCTCCCCAACGGGCTGCATGTGGAGGTGGGAGAAGGGGAGGGGTCGAGTGGCTTCAGAACTCGCCCTGAGTCCCCGGCAGGATGGAGTGGCCATCGGCAACATGGGGAGCCGGTGGATGTGGGATGTGGTGGGGCAGGTGGGCCCGCCTGGGGTGTGGTAAGCAGAGAGGTCCTCACACCCCCAGTGGGGATGCCCGGCAGGCGTTGGGCTCTCCGGGCTGGCGGTCCAGTGGCAGGTGTGGCCCCTCTGCCCAGAGATGCCACGTGAAGCCGTGGGCAGGACAGTCCAGCCTCTGGATGGAGTCCGGGGGCGCCCACCAGGAGGGGGCAGGAGAAGAGGAGGAACATGTGAGCTGGGAGGAGGTCAGCCCAGGAGGCCTGAGAGCTGGCCGCTGGCTGCAGTCATGGGGGCCCTTTCAGCCCCACCCATGTTTCCCTCACACCGATTATGTGTCAGTGCGCGGTACGCTTCATGACGCTTCACTTTCGGAGCTGGCCTGGCTGTTCACGAGTGTTTACTGTCCATATGAACGCTGGAATCAGGTTGTCTATCCTCTAATTCTGTGTCTACAACCGTCATTGTCTGTGCCCAGGATGTCATTCCGGAGGGAGCAGCCAGCAGTTACAGCAGTGCCCTCGGTTGGAAGGGGACTGGGCAATGTCTGGAGGAAGTTTTGTCCCCACTGCTGGAAGGGGTGCACCGGCACCTAGTGGTGGAGGCCAGGCTGCTGCCAACACCCTGCAGTGCACAGGACACCCCCACAACAGGGAGGCATCTGGTCCCGAGTGTTCATGGTGCTGTATTTGAGAAACCCAGATTTAGGCGCCTACAAAACGTCTTTCTGAAAAGGCTCGCCTCTGCCTGTTCTGCTGCTGGCTGCTGGGCTGTTTCATGGGACACGACCTTCTAAAATGCTCTTGCACAGGCTGCAGTATAGATGCTGTATGCAACTGGAGACGTTTTTATTGTCTCCGTCTGCCCAGTGTCCGGCCCCTTCCTGTAGTTGGATGATGCCTTTGGTGGTATCCAAGGTACCCAAGAACATTACAGAAGCTGAAGCCAGATGCTTTCCCAGCATCCCTGGCAGGCCTTTGACCCAGGCTCCTCCATCTGATGCACCTGGGTGGGAGCGTGGGAAGGAGTGGGCGGGAGCGTGGGAAGGAGTGGGCAGGAGGGCCTTTCTCCTGGCTGGAGTGGGGTCCGGAAGGGCTGGGCAGCAGGACTGGCCTTGCCAGGGCATCTGAAGCCAGGCTGGGACTGCTGCTGGCTGGCTCACACCAGGCCTCGCCGGCCCAACATCTTTTTCATCAGTTCCCTTTACTTTCAGCATTCAGTGCACGTTTCTGTTGCTTGCAACCAAAAGTCCTGGGTGTACAAACTCCCTGCCGAGAACAGCAAGTGCAGTAAGACGCCGTGACAACAGCGGGAGGGAAGGCCTTTGCTGTGAGCTCTGTCACCGGGTTGGGCTTGAGGAGTGTGATTTGGACCCATGGTATAAAAAAATTGTGGAATTGGATTTTAGGAGGAGGCTTGAAGACACACTATATACTTACTGTACTGTAATTTTCGTGTTTTGGTTGTAAAATGGCTTAGTGATGATTAATGACTTAGGATTTTTGGACAAAATCTACGGACTTCCCAACGTCTGGCAGAGGGAAGAACTTTAGCACCAGACCCCCAGGCTGGGGGAGGTGGTCCTGGGATGGAAAGAGAGGAGGAAAAAGGTGAGGGGAGAAGCTTGGAAAGCAAAACAATTTTGGATTCCTCCTTGAATAAGGAGCACATTCCTCACATTTGCCGCCACCGTGCACATCCTCCAGCGCGTCCGCCGTCCTCTGGGCAGCGTACGGCCAGGCTCGGTGTTGAGTTTCCTGCGTTTCGGGTGGATTCACTCTGCCAGGCTCACCAAGGTCCCTTCTTCTCCAGCTTCCCTGTCAAGGCCCTGTTCAAAATTTCTCCACTTCAACAGAAAACTCGGCTTCCTCCCATCCCCTGGACTAGCTCCCATTTCCATCCCAGCACCTTGTCCCACCAGTTAAGACACCGGGCAGGACAGGGTGAAGGACGAACCACAAAACCCGCCAACCATGGCTGCTCCAGCGAGAGGCTCCTCAGGGGTGTCCTAGCATTTCCTGTGGGTTCCCTCAGGCGCCCTCCTGACCCCGGGAGGGGCCCCCGTGTCCCACGTCCAGAAGCACAGGGAGCGCCGGAAGCCCCACTGGAGCAGGGGTCCTGCGGTGGCCACAGCGCTGCTCGCCTTGGCCGCGTCACTTCTGCCTCCCAGAGGGACCTGTGGGTCTGGAGGGCAAGGGGACAGCAGCCTGTGAACCAACAGACTGAGCAAGAGTGGGTGGGCTATGCTGGCGGGACGAGGCCTTCAGCTTCAGGGATCAGGGAAGGGACAGGACAATTCAAGTGAGGCTTATGGTCAAGCCCAGCTTAGAGAAAAAACATATGAAACGCATGTAACCTGATTTTAGCAGGCCCTGCTGGATGCCTACCCCCGTCCTCCCCTTTCCTCCGTGGTGACAGGCCCCTTAGTTTTTCGGTATTTAGTAGCAAGTTTCCAGGCCAGAGGCTAAGCCATCCTCGGTCTTTTCCGGGCACATCTAGGTTTTGCGAGGCCTGAAGCTTCCACTATTTGGGGCCAACGGAGGAGCTTTTTCCTGAGAGAAATAGTTAATATTTAATGGACACAACATTAGGTGCAAATTGAAGTTTTATTTAGAATGAAAAAATAGACGACAAGTTACAGATTTTAAAGAGCTTACGAATTCCACAGATGTCGTGGAGTCCAGGTGAGTAACAGTCAGGTTGGAGGGGCGAGCTCCGCCTCGTCTGTATTTTTGGCTTTCTCTGAGGGTAGTGGTTTTACCAACATGCTTCATCAAAAACTATCAGGGAGAGTCTAGAAAAGGTCAAGTAAAGTCAGATTCTGGGCCCTGTGGCACCTCTGCAGACCTCGAGCAGTTCCTTCCACGGTGGCTCCAGGCCTTGGCATCCCTGCCTCCCCATGGCTGCCCCTGTGCCCAGGCCCCGCCAGCGATGTCAAGGCCCCCTCGGCCGCACAGTGCCGCGCCCAGCATCTCGGACGCCATTCCCTCCCGGTGGCACCTGCCCAGACTTTGCCGAAAATCGAAGGCAACAGGAGGGTGGGCTTAGGAGCGAAGCCGCGGCCCTCACCTGCCCACACCTGCCCGGCTGCCACCTGTCCCAGAGGTGGAGGGACCAGCCGAGGGGTGGCTCCCCTGGCTCCCCACCTTTGAGCGTCTCTCAGGCCGGGAAAGGGCAAAGGGCCACATGAAGCCAGCAGGCACTTCGGTGCCACATCCCCAGAGGGACGGTCCTATCCGGGAACCCCTGGCTGCCCGGAAAGCCACTTCCACCGCGCCCACGAGAGGACTCGGCAGCTGTGAAGGAACTGGGAGATTCTACAGACAGGCTGAGCTCAGGGCTTCCAGGCCAGGAAGTCTTCCAGACGCCTGGCTTCACCAGTCCCCCGTGGAGAAGACGGAAGGGGCATGGTCAGAGGCCTGGCAGGGGAGGAGGGAAAGGCCAGCCCCGTGAACAGGACCACAGGACCACAGGACAGGGTGAGCGACTGTCCCAGAATCCCCTTGACGACAGAAGGCCTGGTCCCAGTGACCCTCCCTCTAGGGGCTCCCTGCTGCCACCATGTCCACAGTGGAGTCAGCTTCCAGGGCCAGCCGGGCTCCCTGCTGCCATCATGTCCACAGTGGAGTCAGCTTCCACGGCCAGCCGGGCTCCCTGCTGCCACCGTGTCCACAGTGGAGTCAGCTTCCACGGCCAGCCGGGCTCCCTGCTGCCACCGTGTCCACAGTGGAGTCAGCTTCCACGGCCAGCCACAAGTTCTGGCTCAAAGTCAGAACAGGAGCGAGGCCCTCAACTCCAGTGAAGCAGCTCCTTTTTCAACCCCGACGCCTCTGACGAAGTGTGTTTGTTTTATGAGGGTAAGGATCATGATGGCACAGAGTGTGTTCTATGAAAGCAATGATCACGATGGCAGCTGCCACCGAAATATTTTACCAGCACACCCTTCTGACTGCAGCATTTCTCAGAAGAAAAGCTCAGGTGAAAAGCTCCTGGAATTTTCCAGATCTTCAGGTGGCTTTATTAGCATTGCCACATACCAAGAAAAGGAATTTCCCTAAAGGTTAACCTCTAATCCAGTGAAACTTTGCTCATGCCTCAAAACGGAGCCAAGACTCCGACTAACACACGTACATCAAAATGGACAAAAGCAAGTCTTGACTCACTTGACAAACAGAATAGGCACAAAAGAATGTACAATCGGTACAATTCCAGAATGTCTCTGACAGGAAAAAGCATCCTCTGCTGACGTGAAATAAACGTTAACTTTGAGATTACACCAACAATGCCTTTTTTTTTTTTTTTAAGACAGGTCTCACTCTGTTGCCCAGGCTGGAGTGCAATGGCATGATCTCAGCTCACTACAACTCCTGCCTCCCGGGTTCAAGGGATCCTCATGCCTCAGCCTCCCGAATAGCTGGGATTATAGGCGCCCACCACGGCACCCCAATAATTTTTGTATTTTTAGTAGAGATGGAGTTTCGCCATGTTGGCCAGGCCAGTCTGGAGCTCCTGGGCTGGAGTGATCCCCCTGCCTCGGCCTCCCAGAGTGCTGGGATCACAGGTGTGAGCCACCGCGCCCAGCCAGGTCAGTTCTTTATCAGGAATTTCCAATTCCCATCTCTGTTTACCAAGAGAACTAACTGATACGAATCCTGCCTTTGAATGTGTCTGGAACACGTCCTCCACCTTCACCTGCCGGCCCCTCATGTCCCAGGAGCTCTTTGGTGGCAGAGTCAGCGTTTAGCAAATAGAGTGGAAAGCGTGTGCAGGAGACGCAGGCTTGGGTCTATCCTGCCTATCACAGGAGACGCTGTCTGCTCCTGTGGTCTATCGGGCAGGTCCAGGGAGATGCAAGGGAAGCCTGAGGGACGCTGACTCCCCGTGGAGATTTCTCCGTACAGCACGACAGCGTGGCTGTATCCCAGATCCCTGACTCCTGAAGACAGTCTAAAAAGAGCTGAGTCCTCTCTAAATTCTTCAATGGTTCATCACCAAATTCTTGGTTCTAAGGCTTTGAATCTTTAAATAATAGATGTGCATCTAGACTTGGGTAAAAACTAGAAACCTGTTCTCCCACCCAAGCCTTTGCTTTAGTAATTCTCTAGCTGACAGTCTGGCCGGGCGGGCACCAGGAGCGCTGAAGGCTCGCTCAAGTCATTGGTGAACATGTCCAACTGAGTCTGGGCTGAGGGACCTGGCTCTGCATTTTGTAAAATAGATACTAGCAGATCTTCCCAAGATGTGTATGGCTCATTCTCACAGCCCAAAGAGGGCACTTACTTACTCCACAAATGCGCGGCCATAGGTCATCATCTGTCCAGTGACCCTGGCGAGCCTGATCCCTCACGCCGGGCACCCACACGGCCTGCGTGCCTTCTAGACTTGAGTTTGCAGCTCTTTAAGGAGCTCTCGGGCCAGTTTTCCTGATCTAGGGCTTTCAATGCCGAGACGATCCCATCTGTACAAGGTCTGGTCAAGAAAGCCAATGATCTCGTGAGTTATCTCGGCAGTGTGAGCCATCTGCAATCAGGACAGAAGAGAAGGCAAATTAAAACACTTTCCAGATCTGTCCCTTTGTCCAGGGACGGACCGTAACCACCCCAGTCCCTGAAAGACGCCCTAGGCAGCATTTCCATCAGTTCCAAAGCACAGCACGGGGAGCTCTTGTTTTCAAGGTGTTGGCACAGCAAGTCTGTCTCCACGGCCGGCTACATGGTGCGCGGCGCCGCTTCCTAACGAGCCTCCGTGCACTGAGCTCAGCTGCCAACAGCATTAGCCTCAAAGGCCGCAGACAAGAGCTGCAATCAGAGGTGCCTCTCGGAATGCCAGTCACAAGCTGTGGGACGCAGGGCTGCGCGGAGCACAGGCACGTGAGCATGCTGTGGCTTGACTTTCTGCAAAAGGCTCACACGAATGTGAGAGTTGGAAGATGCCACCTGTTTTCACACAGACAGCCCAGGAATCTGGCATCCCCGGGCTAGAACCAGACCTATTTGCTTTTTAACAGGCCTCTAAGGTTTTAACACCTGATTCTTGCAGGAGAGCAGGAGAGACAGCCTCAAGGCATTCGTACTTGTTGGTGCCTGTAAGTATTTTCCTAAAAACTTCAGTTAAGAAAAAAGGGAAGGGTGAGAATCTTAAATTCAGCTGTGTGGGGAATTTACGGTTTTTTAAGCACAAGCAGCATTAAGAAGGCTTAAGTTTTTGAAAGAGTAACCGATACATTCATTTAGTGTGTGTCAGTTTGTACAGAACCTGCAAATGTTTAATTAGCCAGAGCAGCCCAAGGTCAGCTTCCTCTGGAAGGGTTGGGACGGTCTGGGAGGGTGAACAACTGCCTTGGTTTTCCCAGGACTAGTCCGGTTTTACTGCCTCCGGTCTGATAGCCCAGGACACCCTTCAGAACTGGGCGTCCACCTCCTGACCACCAGTAAAGGGAGCCTTGTCACATGCACACTGTGTGAACGGCAGCGTGGGGACGCAGAGCTAAGAGTAAACGACGTGGGGCAGACGGTGACGTTTGCTCTCCTCAGCCCCCGCTGGTAGCACCCAGGGCCTGCAGCCAGCCCGCCAGGGCCAGTGCAGCCAGCACGGGGGCTCCAGCTGTGGCCCCGGCGCGTGCCAGTGTGTCCCTGGGTGTCTGTATTGCCATCACTTGTTTTTACTCAGAAATGACAGGCACATAATGCTGATGGCCTTCGGCAGATGCAGCCGGTCCTTCATCAGGGAAACACTGTGTGCCTGCTGCTGACCCCTTTCAGAGTTAACCACCACCCAGACCCTGAGTGGGAGGACGGCCCATGGTGATGGGCTCGGCCGTGTCTGAAGAAAGACCGAGTTGTCATTACAAATCCAACCTTGCATCTTCCTTACACGCCAGCACTCCTGGGTGAGCCCCTCCCAGTTCTCTAGTCACACGCGAAAATTCGCAGCCCTGCAGCCACCTGGAGAACCTGCCTCCCTGCTGGCCTTGGCTGGTGCACCAAGAGTGGGTTCAGTTCATGTTGAGTTTAACGACTACAGGATTGAACTCTGCATCTCGGAGCCTTGCTAACTTTTGCTGCTGTTGCTGTGGCCGAGCGGCAGGAGGCAGGAGAGGGAGAAGCGGGAATCCAGGCCAGGACAGGAGGTGGAGCCCCAGGGCTGGACTCCACGCGGTCCTCTGCTCTATGCTGGCCTCCAGCAGGCATAGATGAGGGAGCGAGTGGACGGCTGGGGCAAGCCAGAGGAGTGCCCGGCGAGAGGCCAGGAGCCAGAGAGGCAGGAGAAGCGCAGGGACACTGGGCAGGGCCTCGTGGATGGAGTTCTGGGCAAAATCGGAGGGCCGAGGTCAGAGAAGATTCCGGGACAGCCAGGGAGCGGACCTCCAGGTGCCTGGAGAAGAGCCCACTGTGCAGAGCTCACAGCGGAGGCCACACAGGAGGCAGGCTGTGGGCAGATGGGGCTGCAGGACCTGTGCGTCCTTTGGGTCAGGTGGAGCCATTTGTTCAAGCCATTTGTTCAAGCCATCTCCAAGAGGGCGCGAGGGCTTTGAAGGGAGACAGTGGCCTTTGCCTCAGGCTGCCTCGTCCTGCCCTGAGCTGGCGCTGCTCTCCAAATCTGGATGCCAAGACAGAGGGCAGAGCCTGGGACCAGCTGGGAGGTGGCTGCGCTTGGGCTAGGTCCTGAGGGTAGAGAGACCCAAGCTGCAGGAAGGAAAGGCCGTCCCACCAAAGCCACCATCTGGCCACCACCTGCTCGTGGGCCAAGCAGACTTGGCCCTTTCCAGGGTGCTGTCGGCAGAGGAACTGACAGAGGCCAGGAGAGGCGGGGGCGGTGGGAGGCACTGTTCCCTGGAGACCCTCCCTGCCAGCGGCCACCGCAGCGAAGGCTTCTCATTAGGAAGACTGATGTGTTAATAAAGACGGGTTTTAAAACGTCCGAAAGAATAGCACGCAGGAGGCGCTTTCACCACGGCCGGCGCCCAGATGGCCAGCACCCACCAGACAGAGCCAGTGCACGAGCGCCACACCGGCGTCTGCTCCGGGAATGAGCTGCTGTGCGTGTCTTCTCTGCAGCGGAACTGACGTGGGGGGTGTGATGACCCGGCACTGGGGCCCTCCGTGCTCCTGTGGGTTCCCATGTGGATCAGCAGGCAGGACTGAACCACGTGTCAGGATGGGCTGCCCAGCACAGGGCGCAGGCCGAACCTCGCAGCAGCCAGCTGCTTACTCCCAGCAGTGTCTCTGGGGCCAGTCTTGAGGGCGATCTGCTTTGAACGTGGACTGAAAGTTTCCTCAGAATAGATGGAAACGTGGTGTCAGGCTAACTGAAGCAGAGACCTGGGTGTCTTTGGGGAGCTCTCTCTGGGTGATTTTCTCTCACCCTGTGGGCAGGGCTGGAGCCACCCAACTCCCATGCTAACCCCCACTGCCAGGCCCAGGCCTTGGGCAGCTTCTCCACTCAGTCGGGCCACAGGGTGGGGGAGGAAGCGCCTGAACTGGAACGGTCCTTGCCACAGGGCAGGGCTGACCATCTCCCATTGCCCCTCCCCCAGACCCCCATAAGCACCTTCCCACTGTTTCTGCGAGTTCCAGTCTTTAGATCCACCCACAGCTGAGGGCGCCATTTGTCTCTTGCGTCTACCTTATTTCGCTCAGCGTAAAGCCCGCTAGGTTGGGCCGCACTGTCGCAGGTGTGCATTTTATAAGAGTACACGAGATTCTCGAAAGCGTTCTCACTGTGCTGGGCCAGGCCCGAAGAGGTGGCACCTGGCACGTGGCAGCCAGTCGTCTTCAGCCTTGAGCTGCCTCAGGCTCTCGGATCCGTCTCAGCTGAGACATCAGAACGTGGGAGGCACAGCCTGGGCCCGCTCCACAGGACTGTCCTACCAGGATGGAGACAAACTCCTGGCCCTGGTTCTTGGTAGGTAGGTCATTTGTGACGGGGACTTTCTGCACCTGGACACTCACATTCCAGCCTGGACGGGAGCAGCAGGGGCCTCTGGGGACTGGGAATATTCCTCTCTTGAGTTGGTTGCTGGCTGCACAGGTGTTGGTTTGTGAAATTCATCAAGCTGTGTGTCTTCTGTATGTATAGGTCAACAAAAGTACAAATAAAAAATAAAACTCCCAGAGCCAGCGTGCTGGTGCTTTTTCTGAGATGAGTATGTTTTTAAATTGTGGTAAAATATACATAAAATGTTCTATTTTACCCACTTTTGTAATTCGGTGGCATGCAGTTGTTTACAGTGTCGCACGGCCATCAGCACCGGCCGTCTCCGCCCTGGGGACTCTGTGGTTCTTCCTCTTCGTGGACGTGACCCTTCCAGGTGCCTCACCTAAGTGGACTCACACAATATCCTCGTCTCTGGCTTATTTCAATAGCACAGTGTCTTCCAGGTTCCTCCAGGTTCGGCACTGTCAGACCCTCCGTCCGTCTTCAGGCCGAAGAGTACTCTACTGTGGGCACAGACCGCACGCTGCACTGCTTGTCTACGGGCATTTGGGCCGTCTCTGCCTGCTGGCTGCTGATAGTGCCGCCCTGAGCGCGGGGCCAGAAGGCCGTCCAGCCCCTGCTTTCGGCGCTCGGGTATAGATCTAGGAGAACCACCTAGATCTGTGGTAAGTCTGAGTTTGGCTGTTTGAGGAGCTGCGCCCTTCTCCACAGCAGCTGCACGATGTTAATGTCCCCACCCGGAAGCATGTGAGTGCTCTGGTTCCTGTGCACCCTCAGGGGCGTTTTTCTCTCCTTGCTGACAGCCATCCTGATGCATCTCGCTGCACTTCGCCTCTCCCTGACCACTCGTGCCCTTTCTGTGAGCATCTTCCCACGTGCCTACTGGCCACTGGTGCATCTTCTTTGGACAAGTGTCTGTTCAAGTCCTTCGCCCGTTTTCTAACTGGCCATTGGTGCGTCTTCTTTGGAGAAGTGTCTGTTCAAGTCCTTTGCCCGTTTTCGAACCAGGTTATCTTTTTGTTGTTGAGTCACAAGAATTATTTATGTATTCTGAGTACTAAACTCTAATCACATATATTCTTTCCAAATATTTTTCTCCCATTCTGTGAACTGTGTTTGCACTTTCTTGATAGTATCCTTTGATGCACAAAAGCTTTTAATTTTCATCAAGTCCAATTTATCTATTCTTTTTTTCATTGCTGTGTCTTCGGTGTCATATCCAAGAAATCACTGCCAAATCTAACGTCACGAAGAGTGCTCACTTTTGACTTGGACCATTCTTTACCCCTCAAGTCAAGTGAGCTTCAGGAAGGATTTCTTTACAATAAACCATTTTTTACAAATTAACACAATTCTCTGCACTGTTGCAGTGAATAGCATTGTGGTTGCTTTGTGTGCACATTCTCATTGTGACCGTATTTCTTTCCACGAGGAGGAGGACAGCAGCACACTGCGATGGAAAGAAATACACACAGGGGGACAGGAGACCTGGTTTCCACTGCGGGCTCTGGCAGCAAGCCATGGGCCCAGGAGATGGCGTCTCCCTTCTCTGGGCCTCTGTTTTCTCGTCTGTGACACAAAGGTGCTGGAGGGGGCAGGCTCTGGGGCCATCCCAGCTGTCAACCTCCTTGACCATCTACCTGTGTTGGGCAGCCTGGTACACACACTGCAGAGGCCACACCCTCGGACAGGGAGCCCACCTCTCGCCTGCAGCAGAAATGAGTACTAGGATGCTGGACCCCAGAGAGACTTACCAGGGTGATGACATCCCGGGCGATCGTGTGGCCTCCAGGAGCCCAGAGCACGAAGTTGAGGAGAAGGTGCCTGATGAGCTGTTGTGCAGGAGCTCTGGGGTCTGTTTCTGTGTCCTGTCCTGCTGCTGTCTGCAGGTCCCGGGCTGAGAGGCTGCTGCTTCTGGACATCGCCAGGAGGTGGCCCAGCACAGCCTTCACCTGGACCTGGGCAGTAGCATTGCACAGGGGAGAGGTTAGGAAGAGGCAGGACAGACATGCTTCTAGGATTTATTTGCTTTGAAGCAACCCCCAAAAAGGGGCAAGGACAGGCCCCCGAGAGGGAGCTTCGCAGCGGCCGAGTTTACACTCGACGCCACACAAACCCAAAGGGGCAGAATGGACATTTCTTGCCTTTCTTTCGTCTTGCTCACCAAGCAGTCAGGGCACCGTGCCAGGAACTGACCTTTTTTTGTATAAAAGGAAACAGAGAAAAGTCCTCAACGGAATGTAGTCAGATTTTTATATTGTGGGGAAAAAGAACAAAAGCCTCCTTGAAGACTCGCCTATCACAGCCACAAATCAATTAAAGCCCCATGCAGTCAGACCTCCGCCGAGCCAGCGTTCCCATACGGATGCAGGCTTGCTTTGCTTCTTGCTATATTGGGGATCCGGGCGGGGGGCGGGGAGCACACACAAGGGCATTGGCCATACCACATGCATGCACACACAAGAACGGCCATACACATGCACGCACACAGGCATGGCCATACACATGCACGCACACAGGCATGGCCATACACATGCACGCACACACACAGGCACGGCCATACACATGCACGCACACACAGGCACAGCCATACACATGCACACACACAGGCACGGCCATACACATGCACGCACAAGAATGCATTTGTTTTTAGACGCTGGAACAATCTGTTTGTACGTGTTTAATGCTCAAGCAGAGGTCACAAGTCTGTGGAACCCACATAATAATGGTCATTGTAAGTCTGCAGGTTGTTTTTGCATTAAAAAAACTTATTCCATGCTGAGATGTTTCTGCTTGCCACAAGAATGGTACACCCAGTCGTGACTTGGAAAACAAAGCAAAAACTGAAAGCCACTCATGAACAGCTACGTTCCATCACTTCTGAAAGAACACTTAGGCCTAGTCTGAGAATTCCCATGACTGATTTTATGGATTCTGTGTGAGGCGTTTTTTTCCCTGGAAGTCAAGGCCTCATTCAATGAGGTCTGTCATAAACTCCAGTACACTGGGCGTGTTGTGTGAGCTCCTCTGACCACAATACGAGACCGTGAGAAACTGCACCATCGGGTTCTTCCACGGGGAGTGGCCGCGCTCTCCCCACCTCGCCCCCCAGCCGGCCCAGTCTGCCAGGGTCTGATGGTGTCTACGGGAGCCCAAGGCCATTCTGCCATCTAACTGGGTCTGCAAAAATGCCGGGGCTGAGGAGGCTATGCCTTTATATCTTTTTTCTCTTGACCCACAATTGACTTTCCGCCCTTGTCCAATAATCCCTAAGACGGGGTCCTCTTCCTGTCTGTCTGTCCCAGACTGTCCTTCCCTGCAGTCCGCCGTGCCCATGAGCTTCCACTGGGACACCAGCAACTTTACAGACGTCCGAAGTTTTTCAGGAGAAAGACAGAAGCTTTCTTTTCTTTTTAAAGTACTTTTTTATCCTGCATTATAAAAGCTCATATATGCTTACTATGGAAAATTTGTGAAGAGAAAAAGAAAAACCATTAAAATGATCTACAACTCTACCATCCAAAAAGACTCACTGTTAATAATTCAGTTTATATACTTGTCTTTTTTCTATGCACTGAGACCATACCATTCACTACACATAATGCTTTGTATCTTTCATTTTTCTCTCCATAATGTACTATAAGCAGTTCAGTTCACTAGATCTATAAAACGTGTTCTTCAAGACCTTTTTTTTTTTTCCCTGAGACAGAGCCTTGCCCTGTCACCCAGGCTGGAACGCAGTGGTGCAGTTTCTGCTCACTGCAACCTCCACCTCCTGGGCTCAAGCGATCCTTCCACCGCAGCCTCCCTAGCTGGGACTACAGGCACACACTACCACACCTGGCTCATCTATATTTTGTAGAGACTGGGGTCTGTTTGCCCAGGCTGGTCTCAAACCCATGGATTCAAATGATCCGGCTGCCTCGGCCTCCCAAAGTGCTGGGATTACAGGCGTGAACCACCGCACCCGGCCAAGAGCATGATTTTGCATGGTGTAAAACAGAATGCTATTCCACGGTTAGGATATACCACAATTTATTTGGCCAGTAGCCTTATTATTGAAAGTTTAGGCCATTTCCCATTGTTGTGTTTATGAACAGTGCTGGCCTTTGCATGGATCTCTGTTCCCTAGGAGAATTCCTAGCAGTGGAACCACAGGGTTAAAGAGTATGAACCTTGCCTGGTTCTTTTTCTTTTTTTTCTCTAGTCATCATCGTGCCTTGCCTGATTCTTAAGGGCATCTAAACACATTTTTTTGTTTATTTTGTTGTGACCCAATTCAGTTGGCAAAAGGAGATGAACTCTGGCTGCTGGTGGAGAGGGTGGCTTGGCCATGAGTGGGACAGGCCTTTTCACAGGCAGGACACATCCCGGGTGGGAACACGCTTGCTCTTTGCACCCATGTTCTTTACCTCAAGGACGGCCACAGAGGCAGCGACGCCAGGCCCAGCACACGATGCGGGGACACGCGACCAGCTGATCGTGCCTTTTTAAGTCAGGCAAATGCACAGATACTGCTCATTTCAATCCAGTCGTACAAGAATCATGCTTTCTAACACAGTTCACAGTGTGTCTCTCAAGCCCCCCAACAGGCCGTCAAGGGATTAAAGCTCATAAAACCCAGGAAAACAAGAGGTACGTATCATTCATGAAACTAAAATCCCCTTCCCAGGATGCCACATACACCAATGCCTCAGCAGGCACCAGCGAGGAAGGGGCTCTGGAGGCACCAACATGAGCACTGGACTGGACTGCCAGGCAGATGGCACCTGTGACAGACGGCGGGGAGGGAAGCAGAGGCCCGCCACGCCCCACTCACAGTGAGCCAGTCCGCTCTCACCCAAAATCCTAGGCATCCCGAGGGAGAACGACGCAAAGGTTTTGTTATTTTTTTCTTAAAAAAGGACCAAGTTAGCTAGTAGAAGATGTGCCAATGTAGAACTTCCTAGAAATTGTTATTGAATAATTTATTTCTTTTTACTTCAAAAGTGATTCTCTGTCAGTACCCTTTTGACTGTGATGGAATTGAACACATATCTACCAACTTAGCTTATACAGAATCAAATAAGACAGAATATAAAAGGGCTTTAGAAACCATGTGTGCCCTGTACATCTTATTACTGTTAAAAACATCAACCAGGATTTTCCTTAATTAGTTTAATGTGCTCTTTTAAAGGGGAAGAAATAAAAAGCTTTCTTTTTAATCAGACAGCAATCCTCAAATACATATGCGGGTTACGATAATTTCTTCACAAAGCTTTATTTCTGATCTAAAATAAACTATCACCAAATTTCAACTTTTTAAAATCTAAAACTATTTTTCTTTCCTATGCCATGCAAGCCTTTAAACAAATAAAATACACAGACATCGTTATTAGTCCCTGTGTTTTCAGACAACAGAAAACACCAAAGCCAAGAGGAGCTCCACATAAAATAAGCCTGTCCTCTTCAGCTGCCAAGATCGGCAGAGAGCACTGGCCGGGGAGGTTTTCAGAACCGAGGAAGTAAATGCTTGCAAGGAAGGTGCCAGTGCCTTTAATCAAAGCATTGCTTCCTGTAATTATTATATTCCACATAAAATAACAACTGTCTTTGCCACAGACAGTTATCCAGTCCCATACTTAGCTGCTCTGTGATTTAGGAAATGACCAACTCCTTTTTCAGAAGCAAAGTGGTTAATATCATGTGATTACTTTGGTAAGAGATGTAAACAAAGCCAGTAATGTGAGGATCTGTTGACTGATCCAAGAAAGCAGAGTCAAGATGGAAGAAGCGGCCGGGTGCTGGGGAGCGAGAGGGGCCCCGGCTGTGGCCAGGCTCTGCTGCCAGCGCACCCCTCGGAACAGCCCGTCTCTGCAGAGCACGCCCTGGAGGACGCGACCCTGGGGCAGATACAGCGGCTGAGCGATCACAGATCAAATGACCTCGGGGAGGAAGGGTCTTCATTTGCGGGACAGTGGACTACATGTGGTGTCCCGTCTCTGGCCACCTCGGTGGGGCAGGCGAATGCCTCTGACCACAAGGCTGGAGGTCGCCACGCCTGCAGGGTGCCACGACGTACGCCATCTGTGGGCAGAGCTCAGGTGTCATGGAAGCCGAGCCCAAGCCCCCCAGAGCCCACCCCACACACATGCAGTGGGGCTGCTACCCACCATGGTCTGTGCTCTCTGCTGCCTCCCATCATGGGGGCTGTAGTAAAAGGCCAAGAGCCACAGCAGGGCTGCGGGGGGTTCGGCTGCCGACCTCAGGAGCTGCTCGGCCACCATCTCAGCCCATCCTCCGAAGTGAATGAACAGGAACCAGCTCTCCAAGGGACCTCCGCGGGACCTGGAACACAGAGGAACACAGAGCACACGGCGGCTGGCGGCTGAATTCTTCCTCCTTCGGGTTTTTAAAGCAACTCGAACGTTTGCCAACGGTTGGCTTAAATTGTACTTTTCCACTGACGTGCAGCCTGCAAGGAATACAATTTAGACTCAGACTGTCCAACGCCACTTTGTGTCATCACAGGACATCGAAAGGGCCTCTCAGGACCCCTGTGAGGCCTGAGGCCTCCGGACATCGGAGTCTTTAATCCAGGTACCTTCAGTGAGGACAGGCACTGAGGAAGGAAAATTGCGGTCGTGACCAGCAGGAATGCGGCAGGACACGGCGGAGAAAGAGGTGGAGGGTGGGACGCAGGCAGAAACATGAGCTGTTCCACTTCTGACAAGACGCAAAGTTTGGGTGGATGTTTCAGCAACTAGGAATTTTTTTTTTTTTTTTTTTTTTTTTTTTTTTGAGACGGAGTCTTGCTCTGTGCCCCAGACTGGAGTGCAGTGGCACGATCTCGGCTCACTGCAAGCTCCGCCCCCCCGGGTTCACGCCATTCTCCTGCCTCAGCCTCCCGAGTAGCTGGGACTACAGGCGCCCGCCACCTCGCCCGGCTAATTTTCTTGTATTTTTAGTAGAGACGGGGTTTCACCGTGTTAGCCAGGATGGTCTCGATCTCCTGACCTCGTGATCCGCCCGTCTCGGCCTCCCAAAGTGCTGGGATTACAGGCTTGAGCCACCGCGCCCGGCCAACTAGGAATTTTTAATGAGCTGCTGTCATCATGTGTGCGTCAATGCCAGAAAAGCGTTTGCGAGGCTATCCCCTCGCCACACTGGCAAATGGAAGCTGCAATACTTGTTTTAGGGTAGAATCTGCTCGAGGTAAGGGCCACGAATGGTGTGCAGTGCCAGCCTCCGCAGGTGAACATTCCCCTTGGAGAGGATGGAACAGACCGGCCTGAGATCTCGTTAGATGAGAACTTTCCTTCTGGACTCGGGCAGCGGCTGCAACAGGAGTGTTCCTGGCCCCTTTGCTGGATCTGCCTCCATGTTCCTCTGCCTGGCCCGTGGAATTCCCAAGCTCTAAATACCGTCCTCGCCTCCCTGGTCACTGCCCCAGTCCTTCCTGAGAACCAGTGGTTAAATGTTCTACATTTGAGCAACAGAGACAAAAAGACGGGAGGGTGGAGTACTGGTCCTACTCCCTCTTTCCCAGGACACAGAGCTGATGCTCTGCCGGCCACGTTGGCTGTGGGCTGGGTTAGGCTGTGTCAGAGTGAGGAGGGGACTCCGCCACGCCTCTTCCCTGCAGGCACCATGTCAGGGTAGACAGACGCACGGAGCAGTGGGCTCCCTCGTGCTCCCCAGGTTGGCAGCATGCCTGGATCAGGACCAGAGACCAGCCTCGTCCTTCCCTCTGTCTTCCACCAGTAGCTGAATGCACAAGGCGTCCCATGTGGCCACCTGAAAGGTGTCTCAGGGCCCCAAGGTCCGGGTTGAGGTGGGAGCCCCAGGAGGTCTAAGTCCTGCCCTGTAGCGCCACATGCATCCTTTCTGGTGGCTGTGTTATTCCAGTCTCCACGCATCTTGACATCACACATTCTGAGTGATGGCGGAGAGGGTGGGCAGGGAGAAGAGAAAAACACCCAGGGCACCCGCGGCACCCAGGGCACCGCATTTCTCAATCACAGGGTGGCCTGCTTATGCCACCTCCATCTACTTCCCTGTCCCCGAGTTAAGATTCTTCAAGGTCCAGCTCTGTGTAATGCCAGGACAACCAGGGAGGGTGTGTGTGGGGCCGACTGGCCACTGCAGGCTATTCACGTGGCCAGCCGTGGAGCCCCCTGGCTGCAGGCCTTTCTCTCTGGTCTCTGTCAGTGAGAAGCACAGTGAGGAAGGAGTGAGCAGCTGGCACCCGAGCCATCAATCGCAGAGACGATGTCACCCATCTCTGTGTCAACTTGATGTGAGATTACAGAGAACTCCAGGAGTGAAAAGTGGCAAAAGGAACAAATAAGATAGTCTTAGTAGGCTAGCAGGGACAATGAATAAAATTATACTCTAAAAGAAAGGGAGTTAAGAGGAAGCCAAAGAGTGTTATGATACAAGGAATTCAGCAAGGCATAAATGTGAATGCTTTCAGGGAAATCACACACGTAAGACGGTACCTAACACTACTGTTAGAAATTAACAGGCTGGGCACGGCAGGCCACACGTGTAATCCCAGCACGATGGGAGGTCAAGGCAGGGGATTACTTGAGCCCACGAATTTGAGTCAATACAGCGAGACCTCTACAATTTTTTTTTTTTTTTTTTTTTTTTGGAGACAGAGTCTCGCTCTGTCACCCAGGCTGGAGTGCAGTGGCGGGCGGCGCTGATCTCGCTCCACTCGCACAGCTCTGCTTCTGCCAGTTCCACCAC